CCACCTGCAGCAATCTCAACCAGATTATTTAGAAAAACAGATTTAAAGACCCGTACGGAGTTACTGGATTGTGCGGGATGTTTGTGGGCTTTTACGAACTGAAAATCGAAAGCCTGGTTGCTCCAGGATTACCAGGTTGTGTTGGAAATCAGGGTTCAACCTGCTTTTCAAGGCGAAGCCCGAAGAAGCGCAGGCGAAAACATTATCCCGTGGGGTTTCGCGCTTGTGGGTACAAGCCACTGACAGAGTTAGTGAATATGCAGGGGGAACGGGCCTAAATGAGTACCAATAAATGGGGAACCAAAAAGAACATAAAACTGAAAGTGACACGGAAGCTTGGAGCATATAGGAATGTTGCAGGGATAGTCAGTCCAAAGTCCCCGCTAAAAAAATGTTGTATTGGGTAGCTCACGTACCTCAAAATCATCAGACAGGGCCTTTAGTAGCCATTGTCATTCACAAAACTTTCTGTGACAGCTTACGCTTTCAGGTCTTCAGCATTTGTGGGCTTGAAGTGTACCTGAGCCCCAAAAGCACGTAGAACAATCCTCCGTGGCTCTTTTGTTATGCTTTTTGGGCCGTTATTCCGCCTACTTTTGGGACCCAGGTAGGTTCAGGGTGAAACTATTGGGGGTTTAGATGAGATTGGGATCGGCTGCTTGCTCAATGTCAAGTTGGTCGAAAATTCAGGAACTTTGCATGATTATGCGTGTTATGGCTCCCCATATCAAGACACCGAGGCGTAACATGGAACACAGAGATTAAATATTAAGATGAGCGTGGGGGCCATTTTATCTAAGCTGTTACATCCAATAGTTAATTTTTCACATGTCTCGGAAACATAAAGCCCAACACAATAATAAACAACATTTAGCTTGCCCCGTTTGCCTAGATGTTTTGGTCTGGTGCCCCTATAGCATTGCAAGAAATCGCTGTACTGTCCTAGTGAAACCAATGCACTAGAGGGTCATCAGCGTCTGGGCTCCCAAGCATGAATGGGTGGAATCCTGAAATTGATTCGTTCGAATTAGGAATCGAACACAATGCAGGAACGGTTGGAGTTATGATTGAGTGTGAATAGTTTTTAATCGGGGTCCGTTTCAAAATCAAACACGGGCATGAAGCACACTTATACATGTTTGAAGTTGACAAGTGCGTGCAACAGCAGAAAATGGGCAAGCGGGAATTGCAAACAAAAGGTTCGCCTTTGTTCTGCCCCAGTTAGTGAAAAACTAGGTATAACTAGGTACTGCATTGAAAGCATTGTGGAGGTTCTTGAACCCAAAGCCAGGACCCTAAATGGGCCCATGTCATTGCCACAGTAGGACCTGCATCAACCCTAGGCTGCCACTAGTGCCCTTGCGCCGACATGCCACTTGACTAAAAGGGTTGAGGGAAACCCATAGAAAAATATCTAGGGCGATGGGACAACCTATTAAGAATATATTTATATCTATATACATTAGAACATTCATCCAGGGGTCATGTATAGTTATGGGTAGTATTACTTGAAGTTATGGGCTTTATCATTTTTGGGATTGACCTGTTGGTATAGATATGTAACCCAGGGGTCAACACACTGCAAGATGTTGGGTTAGGCCCCCACTGATAGTGGTATCCTAAGAAGATGTAGAGGCCCCAATATGATTACCATTATCGTTTGTGGTGATCCTTACTAGGTTTAGAGGTTAGGTGACGGCCCAACCTAAATAGGCTTGTTCTTGTGCAAGGCATTCCATTGGACCAATACCGCTGCACAGCCCAAGAGGTTACTTCGTACAATTGCACTTAATAGTAAGGGTCCCATGAAAGGGAGGCTATAGGAATTTTTGGGGCATATAGCGGCATACAGTGATTGATGGGGTTCAGAGTTTTCAAAAATGAGCATTGGGCTCCCACTGTTTAGGCAAATGACCACTTAGCTCCTGAACTGCGGATCTCATGAGTCTATCCTTCTCAACGTCGCAGCTGCCAATGCTGCACTTTAGCTGCCCTTCAGACGTGTCAACTGCACCGTGCGGCATGACCAGGACTTTTGTTGACAGGCTCTGGCATTGTTGATGGGGGATATCTTGCACCACCTCAGTGCCCTAAACGCTACTACATCTCCCAGGATTTGGGGTACTTAGGGCGGTGCAGAATTTCCCTTCCCTTATAACAGTATCACTGACGCTTGTGTGGTTGGCGCAAGCGTAGCTCGCTTCAAGACATGGTTCGACTGTTGGACTTGCCCATCTTCGCGAAACTCGTACATACGTGTTCAAAAAAACCCTGAGCCCGCAAGCCCCTCAGTACATCTCAAACCCCCGGAGGTCACCACCCTTGTCGGTGCCCCGCTGTATCCGCCAAAAAATATTGCAGAGCCATCGGAAGAGACCCTGGGCCGCAGAATCCTTCATATGGAGGATTTCCATGCAGACCTATGGTCTCTTCATATTCGGATCCTTGTTATGGCATATAATGGGGACTTCTTTGGTCATTGTGCAGGCATCGGAATAACAGATGGTGTCTATTTTTTCTGAATTGAAGCGTGCAGGCTATGCATCGGAGGCATCCTGTTCGGGGCTCGAATCTTCGAGATGTGTGAAGTTATGTTTTGCATCATAGACCACCTTGATGGATGGAAGGCACTGAGATGGGCGCCTAGACAAAGGGTGATGCGAAGTCATGTCATGTGGCAAGCCATGCCGCAATAAGTCGTCCCTGTCGAAATGTTTCCCTTGCGAACCCCTTCGCACTGCCTTAATTTGTTCTCATAATGCCACTTATTCCAAATAAGGCCTCAATTTGGCCAATTTTGGGGGAATGCATAGGCCCGTGACATTATTCTTGCCAGATCTTCTGGATGAGCTCAAGGACTTATGCAGGAAGGGTAGGAATTCTGTGGGCTAGATGGGATTCATATGGATTGGATATTGTTTTCTGGGGGCACGAGCGAGGATCAAGGATATTATAATTTTGGATTGCGAGCTGCGGGGCTATGAAGACAATCAGTGTACAGCATGGAGTAGGGCGACGACATGCCCAGGCAAGTTGATCTTTTCCACCGGCAATATTGTGAAGCCTTGGAGCAGCTGTTTGAGCAGCACAAGGACGACCAGCCCAGTTGAATGAATCTGGGGATTTAGAGCTTTTGGTCATGCAACTCGTGCCCAAGCTTAGCAGCTGAGTGGATACCCTTAACCTTTTAGGGCCTATCTGTAATAGGTGATAACATCCCATTATCATTCAAGGGGCTTTTGTTGGTCAGGGAACTCCGTAACTAGGAAGGCCTGGGTAGCTAGGGCTTCGGACTTTCAGATGTCAAAGCTACGGGATGCGCGGAGTTTGTTGGCGAGACTTCAGGGGCTTCTTAGGGGTTACCTAGGGATTAGATAGACCTATATAGGGGGGTTAGATAGGGATAGTGGAAAAGATAATGGACAGTACCAGTATCTAGGGATTAGATAGAGTTGTAAAGGGGTCAGATAGGGATAATGGAAAAGATAATGGACAGTACTACATCATTGGGTGTCCCAATCCGCGTTTGAAGAGTGGAGCTCTGTTGTGGGTGGCTTGTAGTTCAGCCATCATGGCATTGCAGGTGTCTCGCACTCTACAGATAGGCCACTTCAACTGCTGGACCAGCGGGATTTGCAAATTTTGGAGCATGTGACTCTCAAAAGCTAGCGAATCTCCAGTGACTCTTCCGTTGTTTTAGCCTTGCTTTAGGCAGCATGTAATGCCTTCTTTGACCTTCCACTCTCCGTGGCCTTGAATTCCTTTTATGTTGAGCCCGGCGCTTCGGCGAGGGCCAAGGCTTCTCGTTGCCTAGCTTGCTTGACACACGTATCGTGCCTAGCAGCAGGGGGAGAACACAAGCAGCATTCAGCAGTGACATGGGGCCCTGTATCCCAAACCTCAAACCTTGAACCCTAAGCTTGACGGAGGCGGTTATGCTTGCCGTGGGAAGGGCAGAGATCAGCTACCCAGGTCCCTCTCACGAGCCCCTACATGAACTTCAGACTTTCCAACCTAAACCTTGCTTAGGAACCCTATATTTCTTCTTCCCGAGTTGGACCCCAATTCTTCCTTCCGGGCATCAACCCAAGGAACCCAATACCCTTTAGTTAATGAATATACCTCAAATCATACCAGGGACCCTAGTACCATGTAAGGTGGATTCCTCGTATATTCCCTATATAACCCGTATAATCCCTACAGAATCCGTAGATATTCCTTGGTATATTCCTTGATTAAGGGGTTTCGGGCTCTTTGAAGAGGCTGAGTACGGCATGGCAGAGACCAAGCTGGTTCTGGTTTGAGCTCCTCCAGCCTCTGCGAGTCTGAGACCTTTTGGTTTGAGGGACCCCCCCCCACAGCGTAATGAAGATTATACTCTTCTTATTATGCCACTGGTACAGGGTGGGGGGTCCTCCTAACCCTATGGGAGCATTTGCTTTATTCTTAATGATTTGCGAGGCTAAGGGTGCACCACGCTTCCCCTAAGGGCCGTTGCCCCCCCCGGATATATTTGCTGGCGTAGGCCTTGGTAATAGGTGGAGTAGCGCGCTATCCACAACTTTTGAGGCGCTCTTCTAGTCTAAAGCTGAGCGAGATGGATTACAGCCTGCAGGGTCTGTTGGCTATTATATGCGCTACGGACTAGATTTAGGTTTGGGGGGGCCTTATAGGGGGATGTATAGGGGGTTTAGTGGGGACCTTTGAGGAACATGCTAGAACTGTAGTCCAGGGCTCATATGAAGGGTTTTACAAATTACACGGGTCCCCTTTGCGCATCGCCACAATAAGGGCTATGGGATTGTATGATTGGACCCATGTTTATGGAAACCTTCATTACAACGCACCCTCAAACCACCGCACTCTCAGGAATGTGGGTTTGCCACATTCTGCTTATCCTACCCATCGAGAAAAGAGCGATTGCAAAATGTGCTGCTGGATGACAGTTAAGACCTTGGCCTTCCGGGGAGGGGCGGGAGGGGGCGGGGGCGGGCCGTTTACGAGTTATCCATAAGCGGATGAAACGTAGAGTCGTAGAGGATACAAGCGAACATGTATTTCAGTATGGGTTCTCAGCCATTGCTGGGCTTCTACTACATTAAGGCCCCTAATTTTCAGATATTTACCCCCAACAAGGGACCCCCCAGAGGCTCTGTACCTGGGGATGACAATTGAAGCTGAAAGCCATGCGATTGACCTTTAGACTCGCCTAGAAAACCAGTTGACTATGATCAATAACAAATTTATACTACATTCCTACAACTGCGGCAGGTGCGTGCGCACAGTTAGGGCTAAGGGTTTATTGTTGCCGGTTTGTTGCTGTCTTGGGCCAAAGCAATGAGGCCTAATAAGCCCTATTCAGCCTTAGCAAACCCTGAGGCCCCATTGATTCATCCCTCAATAACCACCCCTGATGATTCTGGATATTCACCCGTACTAATATTATCATAATATATGTATACACAGTCTTATTATATTATTGCTGTATTAGACTGGGGGTATTTACTAGTACGGGGGTGGGAAGATTTGTAGATTCAACTCAGGAAAGCATAGCTGCCCCACACCCTGTAGAGTACGGAGGATACAAAAAATCCTACATGACCCTAAGTACCCTACCCCAAACCCTCAACCCTAAACCGCGTATCGAAGTAGAGTAAGGTCACGCAGGATTTTTAAAGTATCAGCAGTAGGAATCCATGTTTTCGGGGCTTTAGCGCCAACATGCGGTTTGCAAATTCGAGGGTGTACCTGGAGATCCTAGTTCTTTGGGGTTATACACTTGTAGGAATTTAGCATAAAGTAAGTACTAGTCATAGTCAACTGGATCTCAAGGTAGGGTTCAGGGGTGTAGGGCTTTGCGTTCTGTAATTTAGAGTTTTGTCTCAACGGTCCTTGCCGTGGCAGTTTGAGCTTGGCTCATATGTTCTGAACCCTAAACCCTAAACGCCAAACTTCACGCTTCAGCCATCTTGAAAATGTCCCCTAGTAGACCTTAGACCCCATGCGAATCTCATTCAGCCCTTACCTTAAAGGAATCCCTGACCTGAAGACTATGAGAGCCCTTGGGTCCTGATTGTGAGGTTGCAGTCACCAATAGAGTTCCTTCTTACGAATTACCCCCCCCCTCCCCCAAACCTAAAAAAGTAGCATGAAGGCTCAACCGAGCCCTACAAAGATTACTGCCCCTTGTAAACGGGATTCAGAGGAGCACAGACCCTATTCCCCAAAGCACCTAAACCCTTTGTTTCTATGCTCCTCCTCTCAAAGCCCTTCGTCCCCAAACCCTGAACCCCAAAGCCTTCTATACATATATATATATATACATATATATATATATCCCTATATAACCCATTATAGTAGTTTCCATTTTCTTCTCCACTATCCCATTATAACCCCAATATACTATAGTAGTGTCCATTTTCTTTTCCATTATCCCATTAACCCCAAAGCCTTAAACCCTAAACCCCAAAGCCTTAAACCCTAAACCCTAAACCCTTTAAACCTTTCAACTCTAAAGCCCTTATAATCCCTCAAAGCCTAGACCGGAGGAGTGTCCTACGTACGTCACCCCGGCTCTCACCTGGGAAGCTCCGAAGGCTTCGGTGTGATGAGATGTCACCCGGTAACAGTGTATTTTAGGGGTACCTAAACCCGAAAAGTACGTAAAATAATAGCCCTAAACCCATAATAACAGCCCTAAGGGCCATGATTTTACATACTTTTGGGGTCCAGGTAGTATGAAGGGCTAGATGTGCTTAGAATATGAGTATACCGAGTATGAGGGTTTAGTGTTCGGTTTTAGTAGTGGTTTGGAAAGTCAACTGGGCAAATGTTTGGACAATGAAATGGAAGCTGGGTGTGGGGGCTTTATGTAGGTGATGTTTGGGCCTATATGAGATTTGTTTAGTTTAGGGTCACCCGGGGACCAGCAACAGTGGACATAGGTCTTCTTTTTGTAGGTTAGTGTAGTTCCGAAATAGGCACCTATCTTCATGAACTGCATGGGAAATATTGATTGTTGCTTCATTAAGCCCATACGGTACTGGATAAATGGAAACGAAACCCTAAACCCTAAGGACATAACATGGTAGCTTGGACTTACCGTGCCTTATGGGACGTACGGTCTGAAGCAAGGCTTTCTGTTATGGCTTCTGAAGTGACTTTATTGGTTTAGGGTTAACAGGGAACCCCCAGGATGTTGTAGGAATATGACAGGAATATACCTACCAGGGTCCTTGTATTCTGTTATATGCCTACTATATTCTTGGGGTTCCCCGTTTGGGATTCCCTTTAGCTTTTGGTGAGGGCATATATCGGCTTTTCAAGTGGGGCACAATCAAAGACCTCGGTTTACATAGCCCCTTTAGCAAGACAGTAGTCTGCTGGAGGGCCTTCGTGTCAGTTTGGGTTTTGGAGTTTTTCAAGCTACTTGGGTTCGAGGGTTCACAGGGCCTGACATCTGCAGATCCCTTCAGCGAGGTGTTTTCTTGACCTAGTCTTCGTGAGCTTAGGCTTTAGGAATTACAGTAGGCGGGCGGCCAAGCCTGCAGCAAAAAAGGAAATAACAGGGTGTCATCAAGGGCATGTGGAAGAGAAATTTCTGGTTGAGGGTGCAAGGCTTTTCTGATTGTGAGGGTTCATGAGGCTCTGCAGCATTGCAATGCGCATTTGTTTAACATATTTTGTGCCTGGCCAGACCGTTGCCGGAGCAATTTACGCAGAGATTGCACGGGTCCAACATCCACTTCTTTTGAGGGTTGATAATGAGGGGTACCAGCCGCAAATCCAATGTCTTGTCCTCCAATTCTCGCTGCAATTTGTGAGAAGAGTCTGTACAGACTTCATGCAAGCGCTCAAACCCCTATTGCATGATCTGTCGTGTCGTTCTATTACACATGTTGCTCAACAAAAGTCAAAACCACACAGTGCATTTTATAAAGCTTTTTGACAGTAACCAAACCCCGGTCAACGCCAATGCAAGTAGTAATACCCTCTCCCTGATTATGAGCCCCCCTCATCATAAATGCTTCCCCTAGTAAACGTATGATGCTGCAATATAGGGTATTCTTCGGTTTGAGGGAAAGGATTACAGCGGTCTTACAGCCTCAATCCTAAACCCAACGCCCTACACTCTAGGCCTTAAACCTTAGTGATAACAGCCGCTTTCTCCAATCCATGCTAAAGTCCCATACACAGGCGACTGCTTCCGGAGAAGTTGTTCTGGGCTCAGACGTCGAAGGAAGGAGGGTGAATAGGGGCTTTTGCAAGTGTATATTGGGTTTATAGGTGTTTATACACGTTTAAACGTCTCTTGTAAGGGTTTTACCGGGTTTAAGGTTTGTCCGGGGTATGGGGTGCCTACTAAGTGTTTATAGAGGTTGACAAGATATCCACGGGGTTTACATTGATTTGTAGGAGCCATTCCCTCAAAATCACACTGCATAAGCATGGTGGGTTGGAAGTATCTTCTTTTCGGTTGGGTCTACCAGCCCGTTGTCTGCTCTTTTGTTAGAGGCAATTTGACGGTATCTTGTGATGGCGACGGGCATAGAAGCTGATGCGTGACTCTTTTTGGGTCGTGCTTCCTGTTAGCCTTTGATCATTTCTGAGGTTTTCAACTTCAGAAAAGCCACTTGGACACTCTTCGACATATTCTAGCGTCTACTTTCAGCAAAACTGAGCGGCTCAGGTGCTATGTGGGCTGGCGTGCATGGTCGGGGGCCCAGGTGTTTTTTTGGTGTAGGGGAATATGGTTTATGGCATTCTTATTTTCAGGCTTGGGGATCTAAACCCGCCCAAACCCACGCATTCTATTCACTTACCTGGCTTCCAGCATGGTTTCTCGAAAGAAGAAACCACACAGAAAGGTCCCTAGAGATCCAAATAGCCGCCCGAAGTGGCGTTTGCTACAGGGTTTCGGGCCCAAAGTAGGTGTCGCTGATAGATGTCTATCCCCAGCGGAAAACACCACAACCCTTCATGAACAACAACGCCCATAGTACCTAGAAGCCGGCGGGGGGGAAGCTGCAGGCCAAGCCATTGGAATCAGAAGTGTTGCTCATCGCTTAAATGAACATTATATGGTATATCATAGTATGTTATAGTACGTGGTATGGTATGTTATATTGGATTGTGGTATATCATGGTATATTCTGGGCCGGTATTCCGGTACCTCGAAAGGAACTCACCGGGCTTCAGCAACTTCAGTGGTGGGATCAGGGCAGACTTAGTAAGAAGTACAATGCCTTCTAAGTTTGTGGACAGCAGTCTTCGCTTGGCAACATGGGGTGAACCATGTGCCTCC